ATTGAATTAAAGTACCAAGCTCTGTTCCATCTTCAAACCAAATTTTTGGAATAACTAATTCTTGAAATTTACATGTTATTATAAGCATATTCATTATTAAAATTAAAATTACTCTGGTAACGCCTATATATATATATATATATATATATATATATATATAACCTTACTTTCTCATATATGGATGTGCAGTTGGTATCATGGATAATGGCTTGAAAAAGAACAAGTTCAAATTCCAGTCAAATTTTTTGCATTCAGTTTTGCACATATTCCCCTGAGAAAGATAAAAATCTATATTTTCTCCCCTCAGCTATGAGCTAAATAGTCAGACAGACTGGGTGCTTCAGACTTGAGTCTCCACCAGTTATCATCAGTAACTTTAAATGGTCATATAATTTTACTGCATAAAATAGAGAACCAACATATGGCTCACTCATTCACTCTCTATCTCTCTCTCTCTCTCTATATATATATATATATATAAATTTGGATTTCCCCTGCAAGATGTAAATTAAAGAGAACCAGTATTATTTATGTATTCACATGTTCCTTAAGGAATTGTGTTCCTGAACAAATCAAATTCATAGCATTAAGGAACATGTCAATTCATAAATAATATTTGTTCTCTGTAATTTGGATCTTGCAGGTGAGATCCAAATTATATATATATATATATATATATATATATATATATATATATATATCCTACAACATGCCTAACAAGACTCTTGTGATACCTCTCTGATCATAGCTCAAGTAAGTCCCATTTAAATACACATGGAGACTGACCAAACTCCATCTGCAACATACTCATTGATAATACAAATAGAATAGCCTCATCCACAGCCAACACTCAATAACATCAACATGGCTACAATGTGCTGAATATGTTTGGAAAATAACTTTCCTATAACTCTAGATCCATACATTCAGTAGAAAATAAAATCATCCTTGATAATAACTAAAATTGTAGCCAAAAGCAGTCAGACAAAATATTCTGACAATTTCTACATTTGTGTCCTAGAAAAAGAAAATTATAAGAACATAAAAAATTAAATAAAAAACTTAACCACAGTACTTTGTCGGTCATTTTTAATAAAACTTGTATAAAAGAGGGATTGCTGCACAAATAAATACACACACACACACACACACATATATGTATATATATATATATATATATATATACACACACACGTCTGTGTGTGTGTGTGTGTATATATATTTATATATTCTGCTTATACATTATTTTTAATTATTTTTATAGATATAAATATTTAAGTAAATGCCCTATTTATAATAAACAGTATTAACTACATTTACCAGCCTGAATGTCTGAGAAATTTAATAGAAAATATGTGGCTTTCGACAGGAATTGAACCTCTATCTTACATGGAACCATCATATAGTCTGATGTGCTACACCATTTAGTTACTGAGGAAGTGTCTGGTTAGCAAAATGGTATAGCACATCATGCAATATTATGAAGAACACATATTTTCTATGAAATTTCTTGAACTTTCAGGCCAGTAAATGTCGTTAATACTGTTTATTATAAACAGAGCATTTACTTAAATATTTGTATCTATAAAATAATGTGTAAATGGAAAATATATTAAATAATTGTCAGACTTAACCCATTTTATAATACATATATACACACCTAATACCTAACATGTCTAATATATATATATATATATATATATATATATATATATATATATAGGACTCATTCAACTCTTTCTGAATCCTCTGCACTGTTCTCAGATTGCCACCTAAACACACTGAAAAAGTATTGTTGTTTCTGGTATGAATACCAAACAGTACTGCTTGCCACTTCCAAATTTCTGGCAGAGTGAATTGCATCATGATGCACTTTTTTCTCACAGATCGTGCCCAGCTGACCCTACCATACTGTGCAGTTGACGAAAACAAACAACACACATGTGCAAAACAAAAAATATAAAATGGCTACAATTTACCCATATATATATATATATATATATATATATATATTGGGATATAACATTTTTTTTTTTTTTTTTTTTTTTTTTTAATAAAATAATTTCTATTGTGGCAGCCCTAAACAGTGAGTGATCATTTTGGTGGGCTGCTTTGTTTTTATTCGATTATGAACTGACAGAGGGATGATCAGGTGACCAAGATTTGGTATTCTTCATTGTTGCCCATGTCTTCATCTCAGAAATGTACATACCATTATAGAGAATCCTCTGGTGGATTGATTCATTTCTGATCTTTCTTCAATCCTCCTTCCTCTTTCATTGTATTGGTGCCAACTCATGTTCTGATGATGGCAAGATGAATGTTTCCATAGACAGTCTTCCAATAACCATGAAAAAACAGAAAATTTCTGCATATTGAAACAATGTTCTCTTGCTTGTGTCTTTGGTTAACTTACTGAAGGCATTTCTTTTATTTTTTTGTTTTCTCTCTCTCTCTCTTCAATGTACAATATTTTCTTCTCTCTTTTTATGTCTTTATTTTCCTCTGCTGAAATCATTATTTCTATGCATCTTTCTTTTTCCTTTGTTCTTATATTTTGTCTTTTTATTTACATTTTGTGCTTTAAAAATTGTATTTTCTGTTTATAACACTTAATTTTCTCACTTTATTTTTAATGAAGGTCTTTTTATCGTACTCATTACGTACATAGACAAGAGTCATTCTGCGTCATTTCAGCAAATGTCTGACCATCACCAACATATTTTTTCATGATAGGAATTGAATAAGACCTATTTTACATCTCTGGGCTAAACAGTTCTGGAAATATGACCCTTTGACCTTTGCTTTTTTTCACCTACAAAGCTAATTTATATACCATTTTAAGGTACTTGGGTAGATCTAAAAAGTGATCTATTTATTTGTTTGTTTAAAGAACAAATAAGATAACTTGACCTTGATCTTAACATTTGATTTTTAATTTCTAAAAAAGCATATCATTTTTGTTTTTTTTTAAATTTGACAACAAATTTGTCTGCCTGATGGCAAGATATGTACAAAATTTTATGGTGAACTTTTGACTGTGAGCTGTGTAATAAGGATATTACTGAGTTGGTCCAAATTCAAAATGGTGGATTTTGGTATTTGCTAATATAGTTTAGTTGTATATCTTCAGAAAGATTTTTGAATGTTGATTAATATTCACATAAGAACTATGATTATAAAATCAACAGTATTTTTATTATTAGTGGTTAAATGTTGACCAATTCGGTCGAAAATAAACAATCCTTTTTTGGTTTTGTTTATGCTTTTATTATACAACAAATAGATTTATATGGTAAAATGGCATAATGAAAATATTTATTTTAATAAGAATGATGAATTAAGGTTAAGATAAGATAAAATAATATGAAACATGCAACAAATGATGTTAATGGTTAACACATTTTTGTTGACATTTAACATAGTAGACTTCATGCAGTTAACAGTCAAATTTACATTTTTTTTATATTTAAAATATTAAGTTTTGATCTGGAGAGTGATACATTGTCATGAATATTTAAAAAAAGATTCTTAACATTTACAAGGAGATTAACAAGCAAATTTATTTTTGTGCTTGTTAGAATACATGTTTAAATAGAAAATAAAAAATTTGGATATGCAAACCACTTTTTCACTCAAGTTTTTGTGATGACCAACCTTGATTGTATCTTTTATTTAAGGTTATTTCAAAATATTCTCTTTCCTAAAATATTTGAAGCGTTTTCATCTTAATTTTCTGTTGTAACCTAAAGAAGGTTACTGAATAGAATAATCACACAAAGGTTGGTAATGAACAATAATACTTAGGACACAAACAACACATATAAGATTCACCAGCAGTGTGTAGAAGTAGTCAACTGCTAGAAGTGAGTCAAGTGAATTCCACAATGAATCTCCAACTGCAGACCAATATACAATATTTACTACTGCATTTATGTGAATGGGGACAAAGCCATTATCATTTATAGGTATGCAATATATATATATATATATATATATATATATATAACATAGTCAACACTTAGAGGTGAAAGTCTGTTTCATGCTAGATGCAATCCTCAGTGGTGGCCTGACGATTGCATATAGCATGAAACAGACTGTCGCCTCTAAGTGTTGACTTCTATGTTCACTTTTATATTTACACATGCTCTATCTCTGATATTGAGCACTTTATCCCATAAATATAGCACATCTTAAGACTATATTTCTTCATATATATATATATATATATATATAAGCAGGATCAGGTAGCTGTTTTCTGAGACAAGACTTTGCCCTTTGACAGACTCATCTGAGGGATCCTCTCAGCCTAAAGGCAGAGAGTTTGACCAGCACAGCTGGAGCCGAATCACCAAATGTAGACCAACATACAGTATTTACTACTGTATTTATATGAATGGGGGCATACCCATTATCATCCATAAGTATGCTACAGCATTTTTAAAAGCTTATAAGTTCTTCCAGTGTCAGTTATTGGATCCTCTAAACTAAGAATATCAGAATAATTTAAAATGAATATATCTTGATGTAATGGATAATAGAAAGATAGGGAAGAGCCTTTCCATTGTAAAAATGTCAATTTCACCTCTTCATTATCAGGATATTTTTCAAGCAAACATTCTAACCACCAATTCCTATCATAAATTGCTGTAACAAACCCCTTAATGTTTTCAAGCTCTATATTATCCCATTTTATAATCTTTACTATTTTTCTTTCATTCTGAGTTGACACTGTTTTTACTTCTACCATTTCCTGAGACACAGGAATAAAACTAGGTACTTTTGTGTTCTTGTAACTGTTGAGGCATTTTTTAATCTATTTTCTAAGATTTCTGCTTCATTTGTCCATTCACTTCTGAAAGAATACAAAATATTTATGCCTGAAATGTTTTTTCTTGCATAATCAAACAACTGTCTCTTTGTCATTATATGTTCATATTCAGATTGCTGCAGACTTGCTTTTGCTGCTAATCTCTTAATAGTGTCACCTGACCCATCTCATGGTCTTTCTCATGAGATTTAGCAAAAATGCTACTCTGCATCGATACCAAAGTCAGCTTTACAAATGCTCAAATTGATAAATTTTGAATAATTTTTATAATGTGAAGTGGCACCATCACAGAAATAGATCAAGTTTTTTTATTTTAAAATTTTTTTCAGTACTTTTGAAAGTTTTATTTGGAACAAATGGACAGCTACTGTGTCTTGCTTGAGACGATCTGATATAATAACTAGATTAATATGCTTCAGCTCTTCGTCTTTTCTGTAATAACAGAATGGACGTAATGTGGCTTGAGAATTATGTTAGTGGAAGTCTTGTGCAGCATCCTGCAAAAATTCTCAGCAAAATCTGCAATAAATATGAAGTCACTATCTACCAAAGAACTTTTCTTATTAGAAGAAAATGTTGATTGTTCTTTGGCAATGAAATCATGCTTTTTCAAGGTTTGAATGTCTGCACAAAAAGTTTCAATGAATTCTTCTGTAAATTGTGATACAGTTTGCAGTGTGATTTTATCAGCTGATAGCCACTGTTTGTAGATAAAATCATCTATTAAATTTTTATTTAGAAATTCTATATATAAAACAAAACCCTTCATCACAGTTAAAAGTCCACCATTTTGTATATAACTTGCCATCAGGCAGACAAATTTGTTGTCATATTTTTAAAAGGATTAAAGATGGGCTTTTTGAGAAATTAAAGGTCAAATTATTTTATTTGACCTTTAAACAAATACATAGGTCACCTTTTAGATTTATCCATGTACTTTAAAATGGTATATAATTTACCTTTGTAGGTAATAAAACAACTGGGATATTAATATTTAAACTTTGTGACCATTTTCCAAAATTTGCCTTTTTAGCAAAGGTCAAAGGGTCATATCTAGGGAACACTATGGCCTAGAGATGTAAAATAGGTACCATTCAGTTACTATCATGAAGCTCTATGGGTACCAAATTTGAAAAAATTTGTGTCCATGATGTTCAGACCTTTATTGATTCGATACAGAATGACTCTTATTTTTTATCTTGTTTGTTGCACATTTTCTATTAGTTTTCCTTTTTGCTGTTCTCAATTTTCTTTGTCTTTCTTTCTCTCACAAGTTTTCTATAATTTTCACTTTCACTTTCACTTTTTAACTCTCACACGACTGTTTTAATTTCTTCTCTTTTTTCTTTGGCTCTTCTTTCAGTTTTCTTTTTTAATCTTTCATTTTTTTTTTGTTTGCGTTTGTTTCTTCTTTATTCCTATTTTTCTCTGGTTACATTTCTTCTTTTAATTTTTCATTATTTTTTCTTTCTTTTTTTTGCCCATTCTCATTTTTCTTTTTCTCCTTCTCATTTTTGCTTTTTATGTTTTACTTTATTTTTCATTCTGTGTGTCTTTCCGCTATCATTTTGTTTTCTTGATTTTTCTTTTTTTCTACACAAACTAATTTTATCTATTTTTTTTTCTTCTTTGGAATATCTTTTTTTGCTTTTTATTTTTTTTTTAATTTCTTCATCACTTTCTAGTATTTTTCTTTCCTTCTCTTTTTCCAGTTTTATTCTTTCTCATTTTCTTTGTTTTCTTTCTTTGTCTATTTCCAATTTCATTATTCTTTCTTTCTTAATGCCTTGTAGGAGAATCCTCATCCATCTCCAAATCTATGAGGTCATATTGCAAGATTTGACCTTTACAAAGCAATTTCAGATACAAATAGTTTCACTCTACATCTCTTTTCTCCATTCCAACTTTTGCTATAATGATAACACAAACTCAGGCAGCAAATGCAAATCCTCCAGGAACTATACAGAGAATAATTATGGGGACTGTAGAATTAATGACATAATGTCTTCAACCAAAATGTCTTCTTGATAAACATCATAGCTTTGGCATCTTTCTGAAACTATGATGGTCATACCATTAAATACGGTCAATATACCTTGTTTAAAATAGTTTTCAAGAATCTTGTACAACAAAAGTCAAATATCAATTTTGCTAATTCTACAAACCTAATGAAGAAACAAATATTCATGATAACAGGCGTTTGGCGATTACTTTGCTTTGTCTACTGGGATGCCTACTACATTTCATTCTATTTAGGGCTATAAAAGGATGCATCAATAAACCCTCTTCCTCTTTTAATGACACACAAGACTTCTCTCTGCTAGGGGAGATTTTTTTCTTCTGACAACCTGTCTTCTTAATTTCAGCCAACCATGTGGCACATCACACACACATTCACACACATTTTCTGACAGAAAAACATTTTAATGTTTTCCTTCATTTTTCAGCTGTATAGACACAAGTATATTTTCTCGCTTTTTGAATTCTCATAAAAAATATATATATAAAAATTCTTCCATGTATTGAAATTCATTTCTTTTGAAAAAGTTGAATTCATTTACTTAAGTTTTACACCTTAGCCATAACTTCTCCCAGAACAAACTGGTGACCAACACCATCCAATACAAATTTAAGCATTTTTTGCTATAGTGTAATTTAATAAAAACTTGATTGTCCCATGGCAATCACATGGGTGGCAACAACTATGATTATCTATTCTCTCACTATTATCTGTATCTTCTCATCGCTACCTTATTATTTCAAATTTTCATTTCCAATCCATGTTTTTGACTATGTGTAATAAAAACAGAAATAAGGGATACAAAATTATTTTCTATTGCATCCTGTCTTTGACTTTTCTTTTACTCTATCTCTTAATACCTTTTGTCTTTTTGTCATCTCTCCTAAACCTTGTTCTGTTATACATTTACACAAGCTCACTAGGTAGGTTATGCTTTCTTTTCCTATTTCCTTCTTTTGTGAGTATCAAATTCTCCAAGATTTCTACCCTGTTTCTGTGCCCTAGCAATTTGAACTATCACTTTCTGATGTTAAGTATAAGTGTCCTTTTTGTTTCTATCTTCTCTAAAATGTGCTTGTATTCTCAGCATCCTTCTGTAGAGCCGCATTTCTGTTGCTTCATGTCTCTTCTTCATCTGTGAGGTGATTGTCCAGCATTCAATGTCACATAGGAGGAATGACATTTCATAACATTTCAGTATTCTTTTCTTTGTTTTTAATGAAATTTTCCTTTCTTAATATTTTGCTTAGCTTTTGAAATGCATCTTTCACTATCTTAATGTGCCTTTGAATTTCAGTGTTGCACTTTGAAGTTAAAAAATAATAATAATTTTGTTTAAAATTTTGTTTAAAAGTGACTTGATGTTGACATGTTTTCTTAAATGAAAAATAAATTTACATTTGTCAATATGGCTTTCCCCACCACACACAAACCAAGAGGCATGAGGAGTTAGGAAAAAATAAATAAAATATAAATTTTTATGATTACTAGCTAAGAAACTCTCTGCAACTTGTTCAGATCCAAGTTTTTGTCAACTGTCTTATGTCCCTATTTACACTATTTACATTGTTCAGACAGTTGTCCTCATCTTCATTGTCATATTCACAAAATTTCCAAGGATACATGGCACAGTGGCATTGGTTGAAGTAATCTGTAGAACCCAAAATAGTTTGGTCAAATTTGTGCAAAAAGTGGATCACAGATTACTATCAAACTTCATACACTTTCAAAAAAATCTTGATCCCTCATTGGTTAATAAATATACAAGTTAGCATGACTATCCACCCATGTTTAACTACTTTTTACAGCTCGTGACTGAAATCCAAGTTCACGCCAAGTCTCTCTGAGCCACCCAAAGCAAATAAAAACAGAAACACATTCACACTCAGCAGTGAGCATCTTGACATCAAATGAATTGCAACTAAACTTTACATCACACAATCTTGAGTTGTTTGTCCATACGAACATTATACAAACTTAAGAGGAAAAACTCACTCACGAAAACTCACCAGTGAACACTATTCCCATTCACTGTACAAATTCTTGCTAACAAATCAACTTTATTTCTCCACATTTGAGAACATTGTATTACACAAAACAAAGGGAGATAACTTCTTTGATCACAAAATTGCATTCAACTTTACAGACATTTACTACTTACATGAACAGTAAATTCTTAAATGTAAATTTACATTTATTCTCTTGCAATTAATTTACAGAATCTTCAATAACAGATTCTAACAAACATCCTTTCAAATCAGAACTCATTAAAAAAGTTAATCTTTCACCAAACTTGAGTTCAACATAAATTAAACTAACAAGATTTCATCTAAAAAAGAATTCCACTACATTTTCATTACAAAAATATATTGAAAATTAATTGTTATTCAAATATTTGCCTTTTGTCTTTTATCATAAATATTTCATGTTTTTTTTTTCTTGTTTTTTGCATAACATATTCGTAGAGTAAAAAATTGTATGTATTGATTTGGGCCATCAACACCATTAAATAAATAGTAACCACCAAACTTTCCACTACAAATCCAATGACTTGGCCCAAAGAGTTGTGAGTTCAATACCTGGCCACAGCAGAGGTGAACAAAAATCTTGGATAGTTGAGTTATTAAAGGGAAGTAACTGATAAGTGAGATATCCAGAAAAGGCATGGCACGTGGAATGAGAACAATCTATCCTACTGAAGTATTTATTTACTTGGGTTTGGTCCAAAATATCAATATATATCACCTGAAGAAAGCCAGAGCATACAATGTCTGAAACATCTTGAATATGATAAAGATGATGAGAACAACAGTTCGAACAATGTAAATAGTGTAAATAGTTACAATATCTCATCTCAGAAATATAGACAAATGTCTCATGTCATTAAAAGCAATGGGAAAACCGACAGTTGGCAATTTGCTTTTAGTGAGACTCACTTTGCTATTATCAGAGATTTGATGTCTTGTAAAGATATTCCCTTTGAGCATTTTGTTCTGGAAGTTAGATACCACTCGCTATGCTGCGGTTTTTGAGGCAATGGCATCACTCATCATTATTCAGTTTTTTATTTTTTCCCATTCTCTCTCTCTTCTCTGCTTGGTCCATCTTAATTGTTAGGAGAATTGTTAAGTGTTGCCACCAGCTTCAACAAATACTTGCTTTATTTTTCTACATTTGAGAAAGTCAAAAAAGTTAGGCCGTATATTAAAAGACAAAATATTATTAGGAACAAACAAAGAGTACTGGACTGTTATGTAATATCTGTCCTCCTGTATGAAAACAAATGCCAGAAAATCTCCTCAAAGATGAAGAAGAGACTTGAAGCAACAGGAATGTGGTTCTACAGAAAGATGCTGAGGATACTATAGACCCAAACATATGAGCAACAAGGTTTGGGAAAAAATGGAAACAAAAAAGGAAACTTATACTTAACATCAGGAAGAAGCAGTTGAAATTTCTGGGACACATAATGAGGAAGGAGGGCTTAGAAAATCTGATACTCACAGGAAAGATTGAGGGAATGGACAGAGGAAAGCAGCGCATAACATACTTGATGCGCTTGAGTAAATGGATGGTAGAATAATAGGGTGAAATAACAAAAAGACAAAACTTACTAAGAGCTACAAGGAATAGGAAGTTGTGGAGGGCCATTATCGTCTATATCCTGAAAGGACATGGCACATAAAAGATGTTAAGAAGTTATGTTGAATTTAGAAAATAATATGATTTAGAAAGGTACAACTTGTGACAGATATACCTCCCACATAATGGTAAGACATTAGCAAGATGAAGACACTATTGCCACTAATGTCTTACTATTATGTGGAAGGTATTTCTGCCACATCCATGTTTGTTACTGATATATTTCATAAAAATTTTAATATACTGCAATTCTTTTCTATATCTGTCTTTTGCACATTCTTTTATTAATACCTATTCATCAATTCTGTTTCTTTATGTCCTCCTTTCATTTCCATCACTTTCCCTTTTGTAGATATGTCTATATATTTATCTTTTCTTTTCACCTGGTTTTATTTTTGTCTCTTTTTTTATTATTATTTCCTCCCTTTTCACCTTCACACCACTTTCTTACTCTAATTCTATCCCTTACTTTTCCCAATTCCTTTCTGCTTAATATTATTGGAAGCAAATAAAAAGTTTAAAGACTTATCATCTGACTCTGACTTTCACTGAAATCACTCTTCAGCGATAAGATAAATCAGCTTAATTTATTAATAGTTAAAAAGTGGATTAGAGCAAATGAACTCTGGAGTACCGTTCTTCTTTAAAACTTGTGAACTGGCACTACAGAATCACAAAGAACTGTGCCAAATAACAGAAACCTCATCACTAAAGAAATTTCAACAACAGTAACAACCAAAATGAATTTTATAAGTAAATCAATGAGAAAATAATGACAAGATGTTGACTACTTCAAACAAAAAGTCAAAAGGAAATCCTTTTCAAAAGTGGGAAGAGCAAAAACAGTTACTGGAGTTGAGAAATCTATTTTCCAGGTTTTATAATTTTCAACTGAGGAAACAGCTAATATTACTATTACCATGAGAGATGAGGAGAACTGATACTACACTTTGATCTTAGCCCAATAAGCAAGGAGTGAAGAAAAGCATTAACTCAAGTAGCTCTGGCTGCTCAGCCAATGAATGCTGAATGTTTCTTTATATGGAAATAGCTAATATTGCCATTTACCATTACATACTATTAATGCACTATTTCTTAATATTGAACACTCTATTCACAAAAACTGC